TAGGGATAAGCATAAGCAGAAAGTAAACAGACAAATGCTAAGGAACAATCAACACTCCCCTGACCAGTGATCTTTGAAGCTGCAAAGTTTGTCTTGATGGCAGCATCATGGTGATTGCCATGGGAGAATTCAATACATGTGCTACAAGCTCTGCCATGAAATGAAGTTAAGGTGCAGACAACTTGGGACTGGAAGACAGTACAAGCCAGTCTCTGAAGAGCCAGTGTGAGGAGAATAGCAAAAGTAGCCTCTCACTTTTCTAACAAGACAGTAAGATTCAGGGATGTTCACATATGCATTCTAACTACTTGCTCTCTGTTAAAAAAAAAAAAATTGATTCCAGCATACTCATATTATTTTCTATCTTGTGATATTCAGGTTTCATGGGATTTTGTTTGTTTTTATTAATCAGACTCCTATTCATTTTGGTCTAAAAAAGCAAAGGCCATAAACTTTAAAATTTGAGAGGATTAAGAAAGACCGTTTGGGGTATTCTCAATTCTCCTTTTTTTGTAATCATTATCCAAATAGTCTGAGTTACACCTATATTTTCCAATATAAGGTTCTAAATTTCTGGCTTCTACTTCATTTGCTAATCTTCATATAATTCTTGTGTGATACTAAAGTGGGTATTAGTAATAGAAAGAATAATATAGTTTCTGCCTTCAAATATTATAATCCAAAACAAATAAGAGATACACAAATAATGAACTATACTGGACACTCCTCTTCTTCATTTGCCTTCCAAATGTTAATGTTCCTTAGGGTTCCAAACTCAACTTCTCATCTCATTTTATGTACGACTTCATCCCAGTAACTATTATCTGATAGGCAATTAACCTCAAAGCAAGATCTTCAGATCCAAATTCTCACTTGAGAGTCAGATACATCACACTCTACCAAATATATTCACCCCAGTGTCCCACCAGTTCTTCAGAAGCTGCATATCCAAAAGGGAACTCATCATTCCCGTCAAATGTATCCTCCTTCTTCTATACTCTTTTGATATGTGCATATCTCACCACCTGTCAAATCATCAATCAAAACTGTACATAGTCCAGTTTTCACTTCCCCCTCCCAATCTTCCTTCTTATCTCTTAGAAAATCATATTCATTCTTTAAAACTCTGTCCAAACTTCACTTCTTCTATAAAGGTTTCCTTTTTCATTAGGCAAAATTTATCCATATTCTATGCTTAAATAACACACTACAGTATGTTCATACAACTACTGTAAATAAATTACTAGATGAGTAACTTTAGGCACTTAATTTCTTTGAGTTTACCGTGCATAAGTTACTTTTAAAAATGTCTTTAATTCTTTACAGTTTCTGAGGGCACAAAGCTTAATGATGCTTATCTCTGTATCCACAGTATCCAATATAATTGTTCATAAACATTTAGTGAGTGAATGAAGATACATGAAGAATTTCTTACTCTCTGGTTGAATTAATTTTTCAGTAAAGTTACACACTGAACTAATATGTCTAATTTGCTGTATCCCCTTTGAATATGGACCATATTAGGTGGCAATTCCTTGCAATCAGCCGTCTGTGATTTAGACCCTGTCAAATCCATACTTCTCAGGAACAGCCCCACAAATTGTTCTTATTTTCACCCTGTGGGCCTGAACTAATGTATTTGTAATATGCTCTACAAATCTGTCAGCTCTCTGTTCTACAACCCCTGAGAGCTTAAAAAAACAAGTTACTAAAAACTACCATAACAGGATACACCTAATGGAGATCACCTAGTGTAAAAGCTTCAGGTCTTACTGGGAAGATGGGTTTGTTGACTCTGTGAAAGCACAGGAAATATTTGTATGCTCACACAAGTAAAATAATAAAGACAGTAAGCTAAATTAGGGAAATATTAAATATGTTTTCCAGAAATATTAAATACTTAATGAGTGAGTATTCATTTACCATCTCTTGTTACTAAATAAACTTTCTAGGAGCCCCTAAATTTTCACGAGATGCTTATGGAATTCCTTCATTTCTTGCAGATAAAAAACATATTAGAAAGAGACCCACCACTCCTTGCTAATCTGTATAAATGTTCATAGCCTTTCGCACTTCATAATTAAGAGTTCAGACTCCCAGATCTTGTATCAGTGAGTTCACTGAGCAGGAGTGTCTGCTCCCCTCACACACTTCTTCAGCGTCTCAATCTATAACACAGGTTTATTTTTTCTCAATAACATTTTTATCTTTCCTCAAGTTGTTGCTGCAAAAATCTCTACTTCTTGCTTTATAGTTTTCTATTACCTATTACCAGTTTCTGCTTTTTAAAATTATTCTCAAAATAAAGGACCTGTAATTCACATATATTGAAAGGAATATTCACACAGTTGCTAACGCATGCATAAAAAAAGTATACACATTAGAATTTCACATAAGAGAAAAACTGCCTGGGAGTTTGAAAAAAAAAAAAAGGTCAGTACTCTTGTTCACTTGATGTGTCTGTCCATGGTCCTTCAAGGGCATGCTGAGTATCAGGGATTTCCAACTACAACTGATTTAGGGTCTAGCATGAGAAAAAAGAGGCTCTTCAACCCTGATATTCAGACATCACAGCAACTTTAACTAGACTTTTGCTAAGCTCTCAATACAATGTTCATTTGTCTTCTTTCCTTTGCAAAATTCAATTTAATATAAAAACTTACTCATCAAATATTCCTATTTTGCTCTACTGATATAAACATAATCAGCCAATATAAGAGGAAAAATTTCAAAGTATGTGACATTTATTGGTCAGGTGAAACCAATGTAATCTAAGAATGAGTCTATGCCCTGTATTAACAGAAAAGGAGGTATTGACAAAAATAACATTTATTTGCATAATCACTTTTATCAGAAATGCTAAAACACATACTTTGCCTCAATGTCAGCTTTCTCTCGTACTGCATGAGCCATCTGTTCAGTCTCAAAGTACTTCTTTTTGCCTTTAGTTAAATCTTTCACTGTCTCTTGCAATTCAGTTTGGATCTTTGTCAACTGGTCCACACACTGTAAAATACAAAGTGCAATCATTATTATTTATTTTTCAGACTTACAGAAAATGAGTTTGTCCTAAGGACTATACACCATGCCCTCAGGATGGAAACCCAGGAGAAGAATCAGCACTTTTAGTCTCCTTCAAACTGCAATTTAAAATCCAATATACAGCTGGTACTCTCATCTCAAGTAATGGGTCGAACAGTGTCACAGTTTGCTTAACAACTCTGCTTTGAGAAATAACCTGTGAGTACTGCTGATGAGTGACATTTAGGCACAAGAAGAGCAACAATGAAAATGCTCTTACTGATGGAGATATCATGACAGTAAGGGAAAAAGAATAAAGGAATTTTGTATTTCTTCATAGTCTTAACTAAGTCTCCTATACTTTTGGGGAACTGATGGTGCAAAAGGTGCTGAAGAATTCACCTCTGGGAGAGAAGGAGGGCAATTTGAGAAGTCTGAAATGGTAAGCCCAAGATAAAGTAAGAGAAGCAGGAAACCTGGGTACCATATAGCAATTGTTATCAAAACTACCCCCAACTCAACTCTTTGGACACACATAGAACATTCTAGGAGAAAGTACAGACATAATAACTTGTAGAAATGTTTAATCAATAAACTCATAATACACTGGGGGCCAAAGTAACACTGCTTTGGGACCTTTCTGGATACCCAAAGGGGAATGAATCACTTTCCCCCACTTTGAAGCAAACCACTGATAAGTTTCACCAGTCTGAAGCCAGTTCAGGGAAGGCCCCATCAAAAACTTTCAAGCCTGGAATTGCACTGCCAGTGAATGATGGAAACTGACAAAAAGCTTAGCAAAGCAAGAGGCGACACTGGTGAGGACTGTGCCAGGCTGAACACTGTGGAATAGAACAAGCACTTTAGAAAAGTAAGGGTAAAGCACAAATAAACTTAAATTTAGACATGTGATATACAGATTAGGTTAGAGTTTCCCAGAAATTATTACAAGTTAAGAAAGGAGTGAGAGATCTGGTAAATTCCCTACGGGCACATTTATTGAGCACTTACTAAGTATCAGGCTGTGAATAAAGAGTTCAAAAAAACCCAAAAAACTCTCTCCCCTCTGCCTGAAACCTAGACCTTTGCTTAATTCTCTAGGTCTATGTTTTAAAAGAAACCTAATGAAGACAATGACTGTGTTATTAGGTAACATCACTTATGAAGCCTAATAGGTAAATTGCATCAATTTGGGATTAACAAAATATAAAAATCTAACAGAGAAGTCTTGGCCTTGGGCTTCTCTGAATATAGTGATTTCTGTATCTGGGCATGCTCCTTGCAAGCATCTTGGAAGCTCTGTCCACAGAGTCATAATCAAAGAGTTTAGTCTCTTTTGGGCCAGTGGCTATCCCTGCACATGTGAATCTCATTCTCTCACCCCAGACCTGTCACTGGGGGAACCAAACAGAGTAACACTAGTTGGCTATGTAGACTGAGGCATGCACTGGTGGGAGAACTAATTCTATTAATGCTAGATGCTGTCTGCTGGTTAGTTGTTCTCATGTTCTAAGTAAATTGTTAGTAGCTGTTAAGTGCTCCCTGTACTTACGTTCTAAGTAAACCTCATACCAGATGTGGCCTATATTATAATAATGAGAGTTTTAATGTTTAGTCACACATAACAAGACTCCCTACAGGCACTGCACAGGCACAAGGCACAATGTTTAGTACTTTACATGCATTAGCATTTTTAGTCCTTGAAATGACTCTGTGATAAAAGTATTTGTGTCCTCCATTTTAAGAGGAGACAGACTTTAAGAGGCTAGTAACTTACCCAAACTCATATAATGAGGAAGTGATTTTATCATTTACAGTGTAACCCTGGTTTTGTGATAACCATGTTTTGGAGGTCTCATATAGAGAAATTTTACCTTAAAATATTAGGTTTTTAAAATTGACATATAATTCACATATCACAAAATTCACCTTTTTAAAGTATATAATTCAGTGGTTTCTAGTATTTTAACAAGGTTGTACAGCCATTACCACTAATTCCAGAACATTTTTTATCACCCCAAAGAGAAACCTCATACCTATTAGCAGCCACTCCCCATTTCCCTCGACCCTTAGTCCCTGACAACCACTCACTAATCTACTCTCTGTCTCTATGAATTTCCTATTCTAGACATTTGTATAAATGGAATCATATAATATATGGCATTATGTGTCTCGCTTCTTTTTCATAGTATAATGTTTTCACAGTTCATCTATGTTGTATTATGTATTAATTCTTAATTCCTTTTTATGGTCACATAATATTTCATTGCATAGACATACTAAAATAGTAAGTTTTATCTTGCAGAAAAATCTTTTTCTTTAATTTTTAATAGTCCTAATTATAAACAAACCTCTTGTTTAATAAGTAATACCATGACAACACAACATTCCCACATAAAAAAGCTGAACACCCCAATAATGGCATATTTGTGGGTGTGAAGAGCTGAGAGAGTACTCCATGGCTACAACTAGATATTAAGAAACAAAATCTGGGGCATGTTCTGAAACATACAACTGTGTTTAATGGGACAATGGAATGGATTATTTAAAGGAGGAAGTGAGATACAAGGTATCTATACCCAAAATGTTCATTCACAACAATGGAGCTTAGCCTCAGAAAAACCAACCAAAGAGGGGAAGCCCGAGTCCTGTGGTGATTTACATGCACTGAAAGGTTTGCTAATTTGAGTACTTTGAGAGGAAACTAAACACAGTAGGTCAAAGGTTTTCCTGGGGATTGCAAACCATGTGGAGAGGATCTCAGTATTTCTACATAAAGTAAACAACATGGCTACCTGTACATGAGCAAGTACGCATGCACGCACGTGCACACACATGGCCACTCACTCCTTACATCCCTACCCTTTGAAGAACAACACATCTATCCTTAGTCCTGGGTAATCAAACATCTTACAGAGATTACTTACATCATTTTCATCTCTATATAAAAGGCTGTTAATTAAATTACTTTCTATATGTGTCACAATGGCAGATGGATTTTGTGATAGTTCGTATGTTAAAAAGATTTCTCAAAAATTTCAACAGAAAATTCTGGTTGATTCTAAGCATAGTTGTTTTTTCACCTTTATATAAGTTTCTAAGATACTTTATCTAACAATGTTATAGAGATAAGCCTGTGTGTACATTGAAGAAATCTCTTGCGATCCTTTCTTCCCTAGCATTCGTAAATTCACAAACAGATGTTTTTCATCACCCAAATGAACTATTTCAAGTCAAAGTAATTTGAGTCCTTCTTCAAAGGAAAGTGCTCTACACATAGCAAACTACCAAAACTATTTATTAAATAAGTCATTAAACTTAATTTGCAAAGGAGAAGTTTACTTAGGATTTCCTATCCAACTTTTAAAATAAATTTCTTCTGCAGGAATCCAGTTTTCTGCAGGAATCCAGGGGAGGACTAAATTATATACTTTTAAAAAAGCTTAATAGTACGTATGTTAAGAAAAGCCTTGGTGTGATATATTTCCGGCTTTTTCCCAAGAGTTATCAGTACTGAGCAGACACAGAAATGAGTGTATAAGTTTACATTAAGGCTAAGGAATCAAAATGATGACAAACTTGGATATTAATTCAGGATTCTAGTGAAGAAATTAAAAGTATGAGCCCTGAATATGACACAGATCACAGGACAGATGAACTTACAAATTAATTGATGACAAGAATAAAAGTAAAAATAACTTGGGCCCAAAGACTTACAAACCAGTAGATTCTTTGACCCAGCAGTCATGTCCTAGAAATTCATCCTAAGAAACTGATTTTTTTTAAAAGTTAATTTTATTGCACTTAGTGATAATGTCCAAAAACAGAGGTCTGATCAAATAAAGCAGAATAAATGAAAAATTCACTCAGAAATAAAATATAATAAACATAAAGATTGTATAAAAACATGGACAATTGATTAGGAAATGGAGAGAATGGGAAAAATGGGATATCCTAAAACAAATATTCATGTATTAATTACAACTATTATAAAAGCTAAGATAAAAGAAATAAGGGAATTAAGAAGTCTACTAAGGTGAAGGAGTTGTATGTATTTTCTGTAAACCTACTTAAATATTAAATTTCAAGTGTTTCATAAAGGATTTCAGAGGATTTGGAATTAGGAAGTAGTACATTCACTTTCCCACTCTGCTATTTATTACCTAAGACTCTAATGTTTTTTAGCCTCAGTTCCATCATTTGTAAAATAATACTTATACATACCTAACAGGTTGTTATGAAAATCAAATAAAACTATAATGGATATCATTGTAGCTTACAAACTCTTAAGTGTTAAACAAACACGTACATATCACAATTATTTCAAGGAAGGTAAACTCTAGTATAAATTAGAACAATACAGACAAAAATATGACTAATTATAAGAATGATATATACTAACTGGACTTGTGGTGATCATTTTGCAGTATGTACAAATATTAAATCATTACACTGTACACCTGAAACTTAAATAACGTTACATTAATTATGCCTCAATTTTTTTAAAAGAGTGGCAAAAAGCCTTAGATTATTGTGGCTCTTGTTTTGCTTTATAAGCATATGTCAGCATCCAGAAAACGATGTAGAAAAAGCTATTACATAATTCTCATTATAATCTGCACAATGGCCAGACTCCTTATTATAATGTGTCTGGATTTATCCTTGAGTATTACAAAAGAAAATTTTCTATCCCCAAGTATTACAAAAAATTATCCCTAAGTATTATAAAATAAAACAGTAGAAATTTTAAAAAGACCATGAACATAAAAATGTTATGTAGGGAGGACTTTAGGTCAAAATTGGTTGTGATCATGACAGAACAAGTTGTTTCAGACTACCTCCCTCTAATACGGAAACTGTAAAAGTTGGGACAAAATAGATTTTTCAAAAACTGCCAGCATTAAAGAACAACAATATACACTGGACTTCAGGGACTGGGAGAAGGGAAGCACAGCTAGGTAAGCTCCAACTTCACCTTCTTTTTTAGGGCTTCTGTTGAATCACGGCACAAAGAAAAAGACTGGAAATACAGGATGGAGTTTGAGGATGGCAAAAGAGTAGGAACTTGAGAGGCTAAGATCTGGAAAGATGGGTGCTACAGAGAAGCAAGTCCAAAATCTGTACTCAATTTCCCTGAGGTATCAGTTGACTTCTAAATGGCATGTGTAGGGTGAGATTCCAAGAAATTCAGGAAAAACCAAAGCTGAAAGGCTATTAGAGGATCAGAGCAGCTACATGATAATTGAGAAGACAAAGGTTGGAGTTCAAGAGTTGTCAAAGTAGGATTTTGGTAAGCCCACTTTGGTAAGTTCACTGTAGCACTATTCACAAAAGCAAAAATGTGAAAGCAACCAAAATGCTGATCAATGTGTAAATATATTTTTAAAATGTGGCATATACACACAGTGGAATATCATTCAGCCTTAAAAGGAAATCCTATAATCTGCAACAACACAGATGAACCTGAAGGACATTATGTTAAGTGAAATAAATCAGTCATAGAAAGGCAAATACTCCATGATAACACTCACATGAAATACCTAAGACAGTCAAACTCATGGAAGCAAAGAACAGAATTGCAGTTGGCAGGGGCTGGAGGTGGAGGAAAGAGGGAGTTCCTGATCAGCAAGTATAAAATTTCAGTTATGCAAAATGAGTCTAGAGATCAGCTGTACAACATTGTATCTATAGGTAGCAATACTGTATTGTACACTTAAAAATCTGTTAAGAGGAGAGATCTCATGCTAATTGTTCTTACACTAAAACTTTAAAAAAAAGGAGAAAAATACAAGATTAATCCAAAAAAAGGCAAAAAAAGGAGATGGAAGCAAAGTTATCGATAAAGAACAGATGATTTATTGATCCTATATGGAGGCAACTGGTTATAAAGTTTGGAAAGTACAACTGAGAAATCTATTGTGGTGGCTGTTTCTTTTGCACACTCTGTCTATTTCCCTTGTTTTTTCTCAGGAACCATCTCAATTTTCCTTTGGAGAATCACCTTCCCCTATTTTTTCAGTTCATATAGCTTGCATGAGAACTGTAGTCCCTAATTTGGGGGGAGGTCTGTGACCCAAAATATGCCAATGAGCCTCAATGCTGGTAGTTTTGTTGGAACTTTTAGAAAATGAAAAATGTGGGATGGCTGTTAAGATCTGTAAATCTGGCACTTTGGGGGCCAACATGTGGAGAGAACTGCTGAAGAATGAAACCACTGGAGTAAACAGGGCTAAGTGGATGGGAAGAAAGACTGAATTAAAATAAAATACCATCATTAGATCCAACCTGCCTGGATTCCATCCATGTTGGAATTTTCAGTTATATAAGCTAATACTTTCTCTTCTTGGTTTAAGCCAGTTTGAAGTAGTTTGTGTCATTTATAATCCCAGAGTCCTGACAGGTATTCCCAATATGTACTTAATGTTTAACAATTGCTTAGATCGAACATAGAGACCATTACTATCAGCTACAATATAAAACTAATTAATTCACAGTTACGAGGACTTGTCTAATCTCACCAAACATTCATTGCCCAGAGATGTCGGTTAAATTCAGGTCAGAGTCTATTCCACCAACGGAAGAGAAAAGGCACAAATGGTGAACTCTCTCAAAATATTCTGATATTGTGAAAGTCTGACCTTTCTCAATTAGATTTGGCAAATGTATTGGCTATTTGAAGCACAGTATTTCCTACTGATTAGGAAGTTAACAGTATTAATTCTCTACCTCTGTCTCTATCACCTACCCTTCCTCTGCATGCATGCATGCATGGTTATATATATTTGTACAATACACAAACACACACATTTTCTTCCAACTTTTGAAAACATTATTTGGTTCAGTGCTCAGGAAGACTATTCACCATGTTTTGTAATTTTGAGCAAAGATAAAGGCATTTTTATACAAATATATTAAAACCAACTGATATTACCTAAGTGATTAAAATTTCATATACAAATAATGTACATTTAACATGCTGGTTTCATGTTACTGAACTCTGGCAGACAAGAAAGATTAGTCTTTGTAGTTTTCGTACACAAAAAAGTTCTGAAAATCCAAATGACAATTAGAATCAAAACACTGGATGGCTACTGATGGAATTTCCTTAAATAATTATTGTAGTATTTTCTAAAGTATTAATAGTTCCAGAAGAAAAATTTAATTATTTACTAGGCATCATGACAATCTCTATTTTTGTAACTTTATTTCTGAAAAGGACATAATTCAATCACCTATTTTCAATTGCAAGCTTTCATAAAAATGACATTTATAATTATTTTTCTATGAATTTTTAATATATGTATAATCAAATAAATAGATTTATTTGAAAATTTTTACTTTTATATAACCTGTATAATTAAACTTTAGAGGTTTTGGTAATAAGTTTGCTATATTTAGTCAAAATGCATCAACTTCCTTTAAATTATTATGAAAGATGGCTCAAATTGAAACTAAGACAAATTTTTCAAGACAGTATGATTAATAACATTAGTAATATATTAATATCAATTACTATTTTAGTGTACACCGAACTGTGCCAATATTGTGAAAGTAAGTAGCTCTATTTACTTGAGTTAAGATGAAAAGTGATATTTTAAGGAGTGTTCACTGTACTTTCAGAATGTCCACAGATTCAAATTACACTCACCTTTGTCAATTAGTAAAATGCAGTAGTTAGACGGAACATGTTGAAATCAGAAACATTTGTGATCAATAAAATGCTCAAAGTGTTAATAATTTTGCAGATTACAATGAAGCACTGAGATAGTAAAATGTATTTAAGAAAAGAACAAATAGAAACAATACCCTTTTCAGCTGCTGTTCTTTTAAGCTTCTCACTGTCCTTGCAGGCTCAGAAATGAGGTTTTTATAGTTTTCACATATATTGATCCGAGACTGGGCTACCTGCATTGTTCCCTCGAGAAAAGATTTCCAAACAGGATACATGCTCCTATATTCAAAGAGGACAGAAAAGTATTAGGCAGGGAAAAGGAAGAAAAAAGCTGTTAACCTTTTGCTCAATGGTTAGCCTACCTAGAGCGGATATATGGTTTATAGTTCAAAGTGTATATATACTGGTTTATAGATGGTGATATTTTTAGCATACATAGATGGAAATACAGCATATATTCTATTCCTTTATAGCTGGCCAATGGGTTGTTTTGATTCATTAGCTATTCTTGATACTGGAGTAAACTGATACAAGGATTACAATCCTAGGCTAGGCTAATACTTTAAAAATTGGTGAATAATTCACTGTCTCAAGGTCATCATTGTGAATATCCAGTTTCACTATTTCATTAAGATGTTTTCCTAATTTTACAGATCAGGTAACCGAGGCTCAGAGAGATTTAGAAAATTACTTTAGATCCTACAAGAATGTGACCATATTGAGATACAGAAGGTTGGGTGCCTCTAAAGTATATTCTCTGTCAACTACATCATATTAATCTCTTACATAGACTGATGTGGTTGGAAAAAAAATATTAACCATTGCTTATGGGCTTGAGAAGTCCATTTGTCTGACAAAGGAAGCCTGTGATATTACTGCTGTACATCTGTTTCTCTTGCTGTAATAATGCTCAGCCAGGATCACATTGTCGCTTGGAATCATTCCAAGTCCCATCACCCTTTACTTAATAAATGTAGTAAGCAATCTCTTGGTTAAGTCAAAAAATTATTCATCCTTTGCTTTTTGTAGTCAAGTTCTTTTTCAAGCCTTCTCTTCTATTTTGTTAAATGTGTTACTTCTAGTATGCTCCAACACTTGTTATAAACATAGTTTATAACTTATAACAATGGATAGTACTTTGTTTTTAAAAATGAGATACTTGAGCTGATAGATTATAATATTCATTTCCTGAGATTTTCTTTACTGTGTCATGTGGATTTTCTACTATATCAATGTATGGGACCACGTGCTACATGAAGTGCTAGCTGTGGGATAAGAGTGTAAAAACAAGAAAAAGAAAAGGTGTGTGGGTCCCTATCCCACTTAGAACTAAAAAAACTTTGAAGCTATTTTTCAACCAAGGAAAGTATTAGTTTGTATAATGGATTAGTTTGTATAATATACCAAATGAATCAATTTAGAGATAAATATTCATTTATTTAAGCAGAGGTATATGACCTTCCCTTTGAAAAAAAGATTCAGTGTTGTGCCAGCAAAAACTGTCAGTATAAAAGCACTGAAGGACATAAGAAGAGCAAAATTAATGAGATGATAGATGTTAACCTATTGTGGTAATCATTTCACAATATACTTAAATCAAACCATCATGCTGTATACCTTAAACTGACACAGTGATGTGTGCCAATTATTTGTTGATAAAACAGGGAAAAAAAAGAACAGTAAAATTAATGCCCTCATGGCCTTATTGTACGACAACAAATGGAACCTGGGATGTATGCAACCACAGACCCTCCCCTCCTGAGTAGTCCAAATCACTGATCTTCTCAGAAAATGCAGAGAGAAAAATTTGGTACTATGCTTTGTAACTATTAATTCATACCTAAAATACATTTTAAAATCATAATGAAAATGAGAAGGAACCATTATAACTTAGGATAGGAAGGAACAAAGGGAGGGAAGGTAGGAAGGAAGGGAGGGAGGAGGGATCCCTTTATCCATGCTGTCCCCTTAGGTAGCATCTTCTTCCCTTTACCTCTTCACTAGCTGACTGCTATTCAACCTTCAAATCTTAGTTTAAATGTAACTTCCTTTGGAACGTCTTTCACTAGTACCACCAGGCCAACCCACAGACTCAGCCAAGACTCACTCACATGGCTCCAGCACTTTTCCTTCAATTGTAAATATTTGTATGTAATTGTTAGTTAATGTCTGTCTATAGAGAAAATTTCATTAAAGCAGGGGTATGTATATGTCTTTCTCACTACTGCATTCCTAGGGCCTAGCACATGGCCTAATACTTAAAAAGGTTAAAATAAGTATGTGTTGAATAAAAAACGGATAGATGTATAAATTATGAGAACTGTACAATAAAAAGAAAAATCCTTTCAGTATGGAGTTTTGAAAAAGATCTTTATAGCAAATGCAGAGAAGGCACACGTGTCCTCAACAATGAGCTACCATGAAAAGCACAGAATTCAGTTGCCAGTCAGTCAGAAGATGTGGGTGTGTGTTCCAGTTTAATCAACAGAATTATATATAGCACACTTCACTGTATTTTCCATTTCCTCAACTGGCATATGGAGAAGTAACAAAAATATAGGTACCATGTACCTCACAGGGCTATTTTAACAAATAAATGCAATGATGTGAAAACTCTTGGTACACAGATTTCTTCTAAATGAATAAATAGAAATAGTAGCAGAATTGTAGTAGAAATTTAAGTATTTCTTGTTAACATAATAGTGGTAGTCCTAATGGTTGTGGTGCTCCTCATTCCAACTGAGGAAAAACAATAATGAGTTAAAGAGTGATTTTTTAAAAATTAATTTCACTAGGCTTCGTATATGTAATTTCAAAGCATAAGGAAAGGTACCAAGCATGCATGGTATTTTGCTCTTTTGCTTAGGCCAGGAAATGAAATTCATATTACAAAAGAAAGAAAGGAAATTCTTTTAAGAACCTATCACATGCTACACATTATGCTTATACTTTATGGTTGTCATTTAATCTTCATGAGAACTTTGTAAGACAGGCATTATCACCATAGTGCAGAGAGGAAAGTAAGGCTTGAAGAGGTTGTGTAATTTTTCTAAAGCTATTCACCAGAAAATGGCACTACCATGGTTATAACCTCGCTCTTCTATAACCAATAACTACCCCTCTGCTCCAATCCCAATTTAATCATCAATCTCCGTACATCTCCTGTTTCTACTCATGCCATTTAGGATTCTGATTCCAACAATTACTCAATCCTATCAGAACCCATAATTCATTTGATCCTACCCCTTCCCACTATCTCTCACCTCTCATTATCTCCTTTTCTTGTTTCGTATCTGGACTAGGTTTTATGGTCCACCATTATAACCACTCCCTTATGTACACCCTTATCCCCCCTCTCTTTCCATCACCATAATCTACAAATTCCAACCTTGATTAAATTAAAAATTCTGTTTATGCCATACCTATGTCTATGCAGCAGAACATTACTGGAGAAAACCATCATCAGGCTGCCTGATCTCACTTTAAATTGATGTCAAATTCTAATGACTCCTTAGTGTTACCCAGCAATTCCATTGTGTTCCTCCAATCCAATTATTCTATCTTCTAACAATTGTCTCCTACCTCTTCTCCTTTGAAACCTGTAATGTGACCACATGTTCAGCTGACAACAAAGCTACCAGAAGACAAGGTCTGCATGACCCCACATCTACCAATCTCCCTGCCTCTGCACCCATACACTCTTGTCATCGCTTGTTTTACCTTAACTACCTGTGCTCTGAAAGCCAGCTTTTCACATTAGCACTGCACTCTATAACCTCAGTAATTGTAACAGCAATCCAGTAATTGTGCTTTCTCCAAAAATATCAACCTTTCCCTTTCTATTAGATTAGTCTAATGAGCTTACAAGTATGCTAGATTTCATCTTTAAAAAAAAAAAAAAAACCTCCACTTCTCTCCAGCTACCGCTTCAGTGTCTGTTCCTTTAATAGCAAAACTCTTTGAAACAATAGCTTCCTTGAAGTGATTGTCTAAAATTACTGTTTCTATTTCCTCTCCTCCTGGTCTCTCAATTCAGCTAAAATAAGGCTTTAGCATCTACCACTCTTCCAAAATTGCTTGTCAAGGTCATCAGAGATTTCCCTGTTGCTAATCCCAATAGCCAATTCAAGCTTTGGTCTTATTATTCAATCTATCAGCAGGACTGACCTGGTTTATCTTTCCTGAACTACCTTCTTCACTTGGCTCCCAGGTCATTCCTCTCTCTTGGTCTACTTCTACCTCACCAGGTATTGTTTAGTCCCCTTTGCTGGTTCCTCTTCATCTCAATGCCCTGTAAATGCTCAGTGTCCCCAGAGTCAGTCCCCAGTCTTCTTCTCTTCTCTAACTATATTCATTCTTTGGATAAAAGTTCATCATCCAGTCTCATGGCTTTAAATACTATCAATATGTTAACTATTCCAGAAATTTTAATTCCAGCCCAGACATCTTTCTTAACCCCCAAAATGTAAAATATCCAACTTTCATATTTAATAGGCATCTTAAAACTCACATGTCCAAACCCAAATTCTTGATCTCCCCAAAATCTATTCTAGCAATCTATTATTCTATGTCACTGACAGCTACTCAAACCCTTCCAGTTGCTCAAACCAAAAACCCTAGAGTCATCGATTCCTCCTTTTTCTCTCATATCTCACATCTGTCCCACCAAGAAATCCTGTTCACTAGACTTAAAAATAAAATGAAATATATAATAAAATATAAAATGAAATATAATAAATACTGTCTATCTCCTCCACTGGTACTACCCTGGTTTGAGCCACCATTATCTCATCCTTGGATTACTGTAATAATAAGTAAAAAAGCCTTTTAAATGACCTCTCTGCTTTTGTTCTTGTCCCCCTAAAGTCCATGCTCTATACAGTACAGCCATTGTAGTGCCACCACTTCCTGGTACTCTGCAGTTCCTTACCATGTCCTTATCACCAATTAACAGGTTTAATCATTCATATGCTTACTGTCTTCTCTTTTCTCACTAGAAAGGGGGTTCCATGAAGCAGAAGCTTGGTTTTATTCACTGTTGTATCCTCAGCACCAAGAACAGGGTCTGGCATAGCAGGCACTCAGTACATTTTCACTGGAGGAAGGAGGAGGGAATGATGGAGCCTAGATTCAAACCCAGACTTGTATGGCTCCCAAACCTCTGCTCTTCTGCTGACATATGACTGCTCTTGGTCCCAGTAATAATGCTAAAGATTGAAAAAGGGTCTCTTTACTCTAATAAAGACATACTAAGCTTTGTATATCTAAAGTTCTTTGTGTATGT